ATATACTATTATTCGATACTTACAGGTTAGCCAATCGCAGTGGTCGATATATATACTATTATTCGATACTTACAGGTTAGCCAATCGCAGTGGTAGATGTATAGTATTATTCGATTACGTGGTGATTTATTAGAACATAAGTGTTTTTACTGTGTACAGTGTCTCCCACCGTGGCTAAGCAGTAAGCTTGAGAGCACATAACGCTTACATCCGGGGGTTTGATTCCCGCTGTGTATATAGCACAGATAGCCCAATGTGTTGCTTTGTGCTTAACAACAAACAAGAAAAACGTGTACAGTACTAATTAAATTCTAAGTACAATACATCAACACTTAAGTTTGTTTGTTGTGTTTTTTGTCAAGAAAGGCCACAGGTCGCCAGAAGGTTTTAGTTTGCATGCTGTATTTTTGCTCATCATTACAATATTAAGTCTAAAAAATTCATTTAAAAACATCAAAAACTGGATAATCATTATTTGTGAATTTAATAAGACATGTTTGAATACTTCTTTATGTACATCTGTATAAAAATAAATCTTAGTGAAGCAGCTTTGAAGAATCAGATATGTGAAAAAAGGCTACTAAAATCTGTTTCCCAGAAGGTCTTCATGTAGAGCACGAGATATTGAGAGAGATATATCTGTGTGTTTGTGTGTAAATTGACAAACGCTGAGTTTTGATGTACTTTAAGCAGTACGTTCTTCCTGTATTAAACGTGAGATCACAATAGTTAGTTTGTTAGTTGTTAGCGCAAAACTACACAATAGACTCTGCAAATGTACACACTAAGGAATTGAGCCCCGGATTTTAGCGTTGTAAGTCCGTAAACTTAACGCTGAAAGACCAGTGTGTGTGTGGGGGGGGGGGAGAATGTCGCCGTAGTTAGTATAAAAACCATATAACTCGAGCACTTTTGAAAGGTGGACCTTTCTCCACTGGGGGCAAAGTGATGAAAAAAATTCGACTTATCGAAAGCGCTGGGGTTATATAGTTTTGTCCTTTTGTTTTGAACTAAGACTTTTAATCCACGTGCTTACCTAACACCATAGTCAGCTCTTAAACAACACGGTACTTACAATACTGGATTGGACACAACGAAAAACAAGTAATTCAAAATCGACATATGTAATTTAAGCCCAAAAAGGATCTTACGTGTTCAGTAACAAGATAGATCGGTACATAGATAGATGTTTGAATAAGAATAGTGTATAAGGAATAAGGATCTTACGTGTTCAGTAACAAGATAGATAGGTACATAGATAGATGTTTGGAATAAGAATAGTGTATAAGGAATTAACAGTTAATATTGTGGCTTACCGTTCATCCTCTAGCGTTTCCACAATGGTTGTTCTGAACACCAAAATACACCATCCGAGATACATAAGAAGCTAAAAATTCACTAAATGTATTAGCGAACGTTAACATGTGATAACATTAGTTCTATGCTTTTTCTCGAAGTAACTACAAAATCCTGCAAAGTTATTCGAAATACGAAGTTACGTGGCCTTCATCAAGTTAAGGCTGGTCGTACTGAAGCAAATTAAACTAGGCATTTACAAACAACGAATCACGTGACCTTCATCAAGTTAAGGCTGGTCGTACTGAAGCAAATTAAACTAGGCATTTACAAACAACGAATCACGTGACCTTCATCAAGTTAAGGTTGGTCGTACTGAAGCAAATTAAACTAGGCATTTACAAACAACGAATCACACTTGAAAGTCATGAAAAATTATACTCAACAAACTTATAACAGGTCCTTATAATACCAGCTTACTACTAGTATAATCAACACCAATCTTCGCCCAGAGAGGACAAGCGAACCGAACTGGAGGAAGTCGAACGTTTATTTACATTATCTAAGTCTTATCGACCCAGTGCAGGAGGTTCCCTCTCTTTGATAAGAGGCTGTTATCAAGTTACCAATCCTCTTGGCGTTAAGAAATCACGGAAAGTAAACTTTTTCACGATATAGGCAAGGTTACGAAACACTGTATCGCTCCTGATAACATAGTTATTGTTATCGTCCAATAGAACGAGAGCTTTTGTAAACAACAGTAAGGATGGAAGTGTGAAGACTCCGATATGATAATCGAAATGGTAAATGGGAAACTTCGACTGTCAAAATTTTATCGCGTAAACACAGCCTGTTTCCCCCTTGTTCTCGATCCAATAGAAGTTCACTACATATCTGTACATTGTATAAGCTTCCTTTTACTGAATTTCCGTTATCGTAATACCACACTCTAGGGTGGATATCGACACGTAAAAGAAAAAACAAAAAACAAACTTTCTTTCTATTTAATTGAAGGGCTTCGCAAAGAAAACAATCCAGAAAATACAAAAGAAACGCTGATAACAGAGCCAAAATGTAAGTAAAATGATTCATGTGGTTTACATACTAGTTTTTAAATTGTCTTTTAGAAGAGCGGGATTTTTTTTTAATAAAGAGAAAATAATAGAGAGAAAATTTTAAAAGATTATCACAATTAGATATAAATTATACGGTTATAATATTGTTTTGGATAAAACAAACGCTTAAAGGATTGAAAAATGTTTATTTTTTTCTTTGAAGTTTTAAGAACACAAATGAACCAAACAAAGTTCTATAGAAACAAAGACTTAAGTGACAGGCAAATTTTTTATTGAATTTTAGATTTGGCTTTGTGAAACTTCGATGGAAGAAAATATGAATTTCAATAGTAACAAGAGAAAAAAAAATTACACGGGTCGTTATTGCACATTAAATTGTAACCGTCAACCACACTATTTGAGAGATTATTATGAACATAACGTTCCAATTTTAACTACTGTGCATTTTTGTTGCCTTTTATGAAAAACAAAATTGTCAATGATTTCAGCAAAAGACAAGTTCATTTTGAAGACTAACTGACTGACCCCTTTGATTAGATACAAATTATAAACAATTTTAAGAAACGTTATAAGTTATACATTGATTAGTTGTAGTAAAGCGCATGGGTAATGGAGAGTTAAAAACTCTTAAATATATCACCATAAATTAGATAATTATCAAAAGAAATTTCAAGCTGTTATTAATTTGAAAGTGATTAAGATATGCCTAAAACTAACATAAAGCTTCTTGGGGCTATTTTTTATCAACGAATAGTTAGATTGATTATCACATTATAACACTCTCACGGCTGAAAGGGCAAGCATGTTCGATGACGGGAATTCAAACCCGCGACCCGCAGATTGCGAGTCGAGCGCCTAACCATCAGGACATGCTAATTATGTAGATTCAAATAAATTATGTATAAGGGTGAAAGATGTCCTATACAGCTGATCCTTTTAAATTCCACTTAACGTGTGAGGAACGCCAAAACATATCATTTTTAGTAATGACAATCCTCTCTCTTATCATCAAACCAGATGATAAAGGAAATATAAATGTTAACAATAAAAGAGAATACTACAACACAATAAAAAAAATGACATGTCCAAGAACTTTCTTTGAGAGAATACATGACTCGCTGCTAAGCAAACTAAAAACAAAGTAGGGGAAGTATCACAGAAAAAATACAAACATCTGACGTGTTTGGGGGACGTCAGGTGTTTGTATTTTTTGTGTGATGTTTCCCCTACTCTGTTTGGGGGACATCAGGTGTTTGTATTTTTTGTGTGATACTTCCCCTACTCTGTTTGGGGGAGAGTAGGGGAAATATTACACAAAAAATGCACACATCTTAAAACACATCAGAAAAAAACATTAAAATCCACTGGTTGCTCTATCGCTCCTCTGTGTATAATACCTCAAAAACAGTCGCTAACAATTTATACCTGACTCATTTCAGCCACTTTGATGTTATATGCCCCTTGTTAGCTCAGCGGTAAGCCTGAGAGCTAATAACGCTGAAAATCTTCTTTCGGTACCCGCGGTGGGCAACGCACAGATATTCCATTGAGTAACTTTATGCTTAGCAAACAACTGGTGCTCTTCTGAAGAACACAAGCATTCATGTACTCGTAACAGTAGAAAGCGTAACTAAATCCAGTCATGAAGAGAAGAACCCAACTTTTCACCCAGCTTTAACACCCAGTAGTATAAAGTTTCTTGCTGTATTTCCTCTGTAGACTTCTTGCTTCTAATGACACTCTATCTAATACGAAATAGCAGATAGCGTAGTCACTACCTTCTCTAGTAACACAGGTCTGCGATGATTTTATTGTCTTGAACTTTTTACAAGTTCTACAGTAATTCCTGTACGCTGAATCGGAAAATGATATCCATTTTTCTTCATCACGTATAAATTTTTCACAAAACGTCATATGTACTTTTACATAAGTGAATCATTTCCATTGAAACTGGTTCACAATTTCTTATGCTGGTTGTAGATTTCTCTAGACCAATCGCGACGTGAGAGTTTTATCGATCGTTCTAAAACCTACGAAAATACACCGCTATTATATAAACGGTTAACAGGTCGTAAGACGTGTCATTTCTGGATAGTATTTGTTTGTGCGCGTTGTTTGTTTCTTTTCATTATTATTTATTCGTCGCTATGGCAATAAGAGGATGTATAAATGGCCCAAACATATTCTGTTATACTTGTGGTAAATTTGGTGTAAAATTGATCTAAGTAAGAGTTTTATTTTTTTCCGATTTGTAAAAAAATCGTTACATGATAGAGAAAAAAAAAAGAATGTTATTTTCGAAATGTGCGTAGCTAAATTATGGGAAATCCGTCATTAAAACCAAAACAACTTTTATGAAGTTTAAATTCGCGGGTCTATGTAATAGTTCAACCTTTATTTATATATATAGAACCGTTCTAACCAATAGCCATCAGCACTTAATCTGTATCTTTGGGGTAAGATACGTCGACGACATTTTTTGTACCTTGACACTTAGTCAAAAAAAAAAAAAAAGAAAGAAAAAAAGACTGGATAGTTTCAAATTTCCCCTAAATAATTTAATACAATTTGTAAAACTAACTGACAACTAACACTGAATGTTGCTGTATACGTTATATCTGAGAAAGTAATTTTAGTAGCTAATGTATTCTGAAAATCAACACATACCAACTTTCACTTCCGATCATGTCATCCTCTTTCTGTCAACACTAAAGCACTTTTGTAAACAGTGTAGTAGAATGTTAACAGACAAAAATGGGATAAATTAAACTCAATTGTGAGCAAATGGTTATATATATATATTGCTATATGTTAATTCTTGCCTGTGCTATTAAGTAGGGATGATGCAAATGTCATCCCTACTATCTTGTTTACATTGTTTTTGAAGGATTGATATTAGCCATCCCTACATTTACTTCCTTTTTTGAAAAGTTTTTACTTTACTTGTTTGCTTGTGTTTTTAATGCAGTATTTCAATAGACATAGAAAGGTTGTATTTAAATTCAAGTTCTAAATACAATGAGGTTACTGTAATATTTATTGTTCATCTATTATTGGCTGATAATTCCTGTTTCACTTAAGCTTTTTAAAGGAACAACAAATTTCTGTAAAAAAGCTAACTTCAAGGGGTAATGATAACATCGTTTACACTAGAATTGTGATTTTAAAATAATAATAATAGTTATTAATAATACTTATAAAAGTAGATACTCCGATTGGAACTATGCCATCTCAGTGAAATTGGTTGACACCATTGTTTTGGTTTTTGAGTACTCATGTAATAAAAAGGAGGAGAAAGAAAAACAAGAAATCCAAACTTGTTGCTATGATATTTACAGACATTCTCAGAACTTGTGACTCAGACATTAGATAGATATTGTTATAAAAGAAAACACTGCATAGTGCTATAACGTTCTGATTACATATTGAGGAGATATTTAAAATATCATTTCGATAAACAATCCGAGCCATCCTTACATAGGTAGTGCTACCGCCTGCCTGATAAATGTACCGAAAAAGGATTCCGGAATGACAAAAAAATATATATATATATATATACAATGTGAAGCTCGTGAGAATAAAAAAAATCGGTAAATTGTTTGCTTATTTTAAACGTAAACTACACAATGGGATATTTGCGCTGTGACCAGCGCAAGTACCGAAGTCTACATCTTAGGTTTATCAACCTTGCCGCTGAGCCATTGCGAGAAAGACATGGAAGGTTATTATCGGCACCGACACTCAAAGAAGAATGAACATTGCGAGAAAGACATGGAAGGTTATTATCGGCACCGACACTCAAAGAAGAATGAACATTGCGAGAAAGACATGGAAGGTTATTATCGGCACCGACACTCAAAAAAGAATGAAGAAACCCTTACAATTAGTCCCCTCGTAAGCAACTCATGAGACCTAAATCAAGCCTAGGTTCAAACTCCAATAAACAAGGCATGGGTCTCATTGATTAAAACAAATATATCTGTCTGAATCATAGATTTACACATGATAGAGTTAGGGTAATATGAGCTTATATAACGTATTTTTATAATGTGTTTTCTTTCTCATCAAAGCTGTTTATATCTATCAAATAAAACGTAATTTGTTTTAAAATTCGACCCGTGAACGTATGCAATGTTGTTTAAGAAGGTTGTTCTCCGTCATTCTAATCCTGTAGATTAACGTTTATCTCATTGTCGTTTCACTTTTAATGACAGAAGTAAACACGTTACCCGCGTGCATTTACTAGTGTTTTTAAAACTGTTTTTTTATCACGATTACTTAGCCTTAAGTA